CCTGCCTCCCTCTCCTACATTCCTGTTTTCCTTTTCACTGAATCATCATGGAGGTGGGGATGAGACCTGGCTAAGACTTCGTTTGGTTTCTAATTCCAAGTTTCTCTGAGTGTGAGCATTTACTTTGCTGGCTGTGCTTCTGTTATTTAAAGTGATATATTTTTCATACATTGTGGCCCTTAAATGCAAGCCAACCTCTTCATCTGGTGTCAGCCAAAGGAAAACTGATCTGTTGCAACGCTGGAGGAAAAACTGGCAATGTTGGATTTACCTATATTGAAAGATGGTATGTTGTTCTTCATCTTGGGCTCTCCAAGTATAACTTTGACACTGCATGGTTTTTATATATGCTGATTTTTGTCTCTAACTTCTGAGTTAGATTCAGTTGGTATTTAATTCCAGTCTTTTTTTGTACAATTTACATAATTATCATTGAGAGTGTATTCATTTAATTGCTCTGTAATTCCATATTGCTACATAATTTTATAGCCATCTTTTATAAGAATTTCTAGTTTTTGTTTTTTCAGAAGGGTTGTGGGTACCAATAGAGTTTTTTGTGAGAGTGAATACTTTTAACTTGGCTTCTTTAGGCCCACTCACCTTGATTCTGCTATCAGTATTGAAATAGGAGTAACTATTGTGCTGCTAATTTCTGTATTTCTTTATTATAGAAAGGGTTTTTTGTCCTCAGGTGTGTAGGACTCATCCTGTATTAAGGCTGAAAAAAAATTGAATTTAAGATTACTTATTTAAAACAATCTTAGGGTCTTGTTACAGAGTGAAAGACTGGGGCCTAACTACTCAGGAGGCTGAGGCAAGAGAATAGCAGGTTTAAGCAGTCCAGACTACAGACTGAAGTTTAAGACTAGCCTGGGAGCAAGGAATAGAGGTATTCTCCTGTAATCATAATACTCTGTTGGTAAAAAGTAGGAGAATTACTCCAAATATGAGGCCACACAGAGCTGCATAGCAAGACCCCTGTCTCAGAAAGCTAAAATAAGTAAAACAAAACAAAAATAAGTCAGCCTGGGCATTTTAGCCTTGTCTGAGAATTAAAATACCAAATGATTAGCCCTGAAATTATAAACATACAAGCAACACTAAATGGACTCAGCAGGTTGTATTTCTAGGTTTATGTGCTTAAATATGTAACAGCAGCAAAGCAGAATAGGCCCTGAATTTGAGTGGGAACGTGAGGGTGGGGCATGGGAGAACGTAGAGGGGAGGAGGAAATGTTGTAAATGTATTCTAATTTTTAAAAATTTTTGAGCAAGACAGACTGGTGGGCTGGTTCAGTGGGTAACAGTGCTTTTCACAAAGGTTGTTTATGCCATCCCTGAGGCCCACATGCTAAAAGGAGAGAAAATGATTTTGAAAAATGGAACTCTGAACTGTAAAATTAGGATAGAGAATTTTGTCTTTAGATAGGTGCGGTGGCGCAAGCTTTTAATCCCAGCACTCGGGAGGCAAAGGCAGACGGATCTCTGAGTTTGAGGCTAGCCTGGTTGGTCTACAGAGAAAATTCCAGAACAGCCAGGGCCACACAGAGAAACTCTGTCTCTAAACACAAAAATCAACAGCAAAAGTTGATCTCTGATTCCCACATGCATGCAAACACACACACTGTATTATTTTAAGTAGAAGAATAAGATTAGATTGATAACTCAGTTGTATCGCTCTTACCTAGCACGTGCCAGCATTCAAACCTTCATACTGAAAAAATGAAAGAGGATACAGTGTGGTGATTAATGGTATCCATTTGAATCTGAACTGCTTGGATTTAAAAGATTTAGCTCTGGTTTTGAAACTAAAGTGTCTTTGAGCAAACTACTTATCCTTTCTTTGTTTTTTTTCCCGTGAGTGAATAGTAATAATTACTTCTATAGTAGTCTTGTGGGAATTAAACCAGTATATTTAAAGGATTTTGTAATAGACCTTGTTTGTAACAGGTACTATATAAATACTTAGTATCATTGTCTTCTGGTGATTTTTGAAAATCTTTATGATACAACTATAAAGTTTGAATGTAGAGAATGCTTGGAATCAAGATTGGGTACCTTAAAAAACCCTATATAGCTAAACTTTAAGTATGTGTTCTTTTGATAGCTAAACTTTAATGCAGAAGAGACTTGAATGGTAGGCTTGTGAACTTCACATGATTTTAAATTGATATATACACAGATGTTCATTGTGCCTCCTATAGACTACATATTTTCCTTCCCAGTGACTTTAGTATCAAAACCTTCTTATTCTTCAACAAAGTATGAATGTTGTCATGATTCATCTTGTTCTTCCCACAGAGTCTGTTTTCTTCTGGGCCACAGAGTTTGCCTCTTTAAGTATAGCAAGGAAACTTAGGGCTTTGCAATCTGGTGTTAGTTGTCTATGTTTTTTTTCATTTTGTGGAGAGAGTTTTGTTTTACATACTCTTGTGCACTTCTTTGATAATGTTTTTAATGGCAATCAAAGCATTCAAGAGAGCATCTGTGTGATCCATGGCTACCCCTTTCTGGTTATGGACATGCTTTTGAGTATTCACAGTAGAAATTTGGTGGCAAATGATATATATGTTCCTTTGTGTTATTCTTTGGTACTTCAAAAGAGTATTTAGAACCGTTTACAAAATAAACGTAGAGTGTCTTATGTATATTTTTATAATATATATTACATAGCATATTATAAATATATATATATATATTTCAAACTGAATTTGTTTAGAAACTCCACTTGAAAGTAAGTAAGTAACAAAAAATTTTCTATAATTAACCAGTTGTAAACAAATATGTATCTGAAGTGTGGTATACTAATAAGAGGAACCTGATTTTTGTGTTAAATTTAGACAAGTTGGAGTTGGCTAAAACTGTGAAATTAGGATAGAGAATTTTGTCTCTAGGTAGGTGTGGTCGTGCATGCTTTTATTCTCAGTACTCTGGAGACAGAGGAAGGGAGATCACTGTAAATTCAATGCCATCCTGGTCCATCTAGTGAGTTCCAGGCTAGCTGGAGTTAAATGGTGAGACTCTTTAAAAAATAAAAATAGAAGTAAATTCTCTATCTCTCAGCCTGGAGTAGTACTGAGGTTTTTACAAACTTTTGTGGTTTTTTTTTTTTTCTGATCACTTCCTGAAACTCAAAGCAAGGATATACATCATTGTATCATTATATAGCAACATTTTGTAGTTAAAATAGTTATCAAGTCTAAAGTCAAGTTATCACTATCATTAAACATTTTAGATCATTTAGATCATTTATTCTATGTAACAAGGAATTCAGTCCGTTTCACGAAATTTGGTATATTTTTTAAAAGTTTATTATTATTTTTTAAAAGATTTTAAAATATTTACTTTATTGTTTTATATGTATGAATGTTTTGCCTGCAAATATGTCTGTGTACCATGGATGTGTCTGGTGCCTGTTTAGGTCAGAAGAGAGCATTGCATCCCATGGAACTGTAATTACAGAAAGTTGTGAGACACTATGTGGGTACTGGGGGAAAAAACCCCGCCCCGGGTCTTTGGGAAGAGCAAAAATGTGCTATCGGTGAGCCAGCTCTCTTATTTTATTTTTGAGACAGGGTCTCGCTGTTTAGTCCAGGCTGACTTTGAGTTGCAATTCTCTTGTGTCAGCTAAAATGATAGGCATGTGCCACCCAGGCCAACTTCTCTTTTTGTCTCTTGTTGGTAGCAGACTTTAATTCTAGAACCTTCTACACCACTGGGTTAGACTCTAACCAAGTTACTATTTGTTATGTTTTGTTTTTTAATTCTTTTTCAAAACACTTTCTCTATGTAGCCCTGGCTGTGCTGGAACTTGCCCTGTAAACTATAGTTTTGGATACCTTCATTCAATGAGTATCAGTTTCTTCTTGTTGTATCTACTTATGTTTAAAATCCACATAGGTTTTATGTTGTGTTCTTTCCCTCTGTTTATTTTTCATCTGAATAAATCACATCTATTTTTTCTAATTGCATAGTGTAAGTTCTAGAGGTGAGCTTTTTTATCCTGTGAGAAAATGGAGGAAGCATGGAAACCACGTGTGGAACATTGCAGTGACAAGTCTATTTTTACAATCATATGGTAGCAGTATCAGGAACTATGAGACAGGTTAATAAGTAGAGTTTAGCAGCTTGTAAATTCCATAATTTTCCAGTGTCATGCATCGTTAGAGCCTCAGACCTGTGCTGTAGATAATGCTTTTTCAATGTTAAGGTGGAAGGCATTTGATAATGATACCTAGAGTTATTGTACATGCATTGATTACTAACAACTGCCATCTTTCCCCTTGCTTGCTCTACCATCAGCTTTTTGCATGTAAGCACAATTTTGGATCAAGTTATTTAATTTCTGCTTTTATATATTTCTCCTTTTATAAAGATTTTAGCTGATTTTTACTTGAGTTTGAAAAGGGGAAGGGTAGAGTGGTGGTGGTGATGGTGGTGGCTGAAACGGTCTGTTCCTTGTCAACCGGAAGCCTACTGTATATCCAAATAGAATAGACGCATTATTCCATCAGCACTTCTCTTTGAAGGTGGTTTCTGCTTGAAGAATGGTGACTCTTAGCATAGCTTTGGAATAATTGGTTCTCTTCCTTCTCTTCGGATACATCTTTTTTTTTTTTTTTTTCAGATTCTTTTCTGTTCTTTTTGGCTGTTTTTCCAGAAGATTCAGCCTGTCATTAAAATATTTTGGATCACACTTCTGTGGGAACTTTCTGTGAAATTTCTGGGATTACCCTTTTCTGATCAGCAGTGATAAGAGGGCAAAGAATCTTCTTAGTTAATAGGAAAAAAGCCATTTGTAATGAATTTCAAACTTCAGAAACACCCATACTTTTCCTTCAGTACTTTTTCTGTTTGTGGAAGCACCTTTGCCTAGTGTCAAGGTGGGGGATAGATGGGAGGGCTTGTGTTTAAGGGGTTCAGAACAGGGGATATAAATGTGTCTTTTATGTTTGCAAGGCACTAACACCACTCCCGTCTGTATTTAAATGCTGTCCCCAGGTTACGACTATGGCTATGTCTGCGTGGAGTTTTCACTCTTGGAAGATGCCATCGGATGCATGGAGGCCAACCAGGTTGCTTTATACTTCGGTCAAATGATGCTGAAAGGATATTTTAATATATGGGGAGGGAGGGTTTCAAATAATTTCACTTTGGAAAGGTGTAAGAAACCAGTTGTGCAAAGAAACTTTTTTTAAAAGCTGGGAAATTTATTTAGAATAGTAAATGTGTACAGAGTGCATTTAAGAAACTAGGTTCCAGTTCTAGTTTGACTATGTTCTAGAGACTGTACATGGGAAATATGACAGATCTGGAGTGTTTCCCTCTGAAGTGTGATAAAGATGTGTAGGTTCCTGGTGCAAATGATCCTCTATTGTCTAGGCTTTAAAGGATCTGCCTGCACAGGAATTTTAGGTCAATCAGTGGTCATTCCCAGACTTAGGATAAAGGTCACACTAATGGTGATTTCTGTGGCTCTAAGGTTCTTCCTATATGTGGTATATTTGAAAGAGTGCCCTTGAGGAGAAAAGAGGAATGGATAGTTTGTGTCTGTCTCATTCATTGTTGTTCTTTGCCAGTTGGAGTTTGTTTCAAGTCATTGGATGTTTATAGGCAGAGCTGGTGAATATTGAGTCTGCATTCATGTTTGAACTTTCAGGAGTTACTCAACTTTCCACCTAAAATTGTAATCTATCTAATTGAACACTGGTTACTGGTTTGGGAAGAAATTGCTAAATAGAATCCTTCTTGTTTTGTATTTTTTTTTTTATCTTGGGAAAATCAATTTGGTTTGTCTCAGATCCTCTATCATGAGATGGGAGAGGCAGCTTTAGGGATGTAGATTGACTGTTAGATATCTACTATCTATACTTAGAAGCATCTGTGCATCATAAAAGAAGGTTCTGCCAAAGGAGAGTAATTTTATAAAATCTTTTCTGTAGCCTAGTGCTTGCTCATCAACTTGGCTCTACTTAACATGATTACATGATTCGTGGCACTTACTACCCCTTTGGCTGACCTGGAACTTACAGAGATCCATCTGTCTCTGCTTCCTGAGTGCTGAAATCAAAGGCCTGCACTACTATGCCCAGCTTTATTGTTTACTTCTTTGAGGGGAGGGATTTTTCCCTTATTGAAATGGAGATAGTATTGTGGGTTGTTTATTTATTTATTTTAAGGCATAATCTCATTCTGTAGCCCAAACAGGCCTAGAATTAATTGTGTAACTCAGGATAGATGTGAACCTTTGGTAGTTCTCCTGCCTGAGTTTCTAAGTGCTGAGGTTAGTTATGAGCCATTATTTTAATTTGTTTTTTCTTGCTGTGACAAAGTATCATGACCAAAAGCAACTTCAGGATGAAAGGATTTATTTCAGTTTACAGTTCATAGTTCATCATGAAATTCGAAGTAGGGCAGAAATTCACACTAGGAACCCGGAAAGCAGAAGCTAAAGTACAAACCATAAGTGAATGCTGCTCACTAGCTTGTTACCTGTGACTTGTTACCCATGACTTGCCAGCCTGTTTCTTATGCTGTCCAGTACCACTTAACCAGGTGTGGCATTGCCCCCGTGAGATGGGTCCTCTCAAAGCAATCATAGAAAGAAAGAAAGAAAGAAAGAAAGAAAGGAAGGAAGGAAGGAAGGAAGGAAGGAAGGAAGGAAGGAAGAAAGAAAGAAAGTTCTCCTTTCTGTGGTGGCATTCGCCTTTAATCCCAGCACTTGGGAAGCAGAGGCAAGCAAATCTCTGTGAGTTTGAGGCCAGCCTGGTCTACAAGAGCTAGTTCCAGGACAGGCTTCAAAGCCACAGAGAAACCCTGTCTCAAAAAAACAGAAAGAAGAAAAGATAAAGAAAAATGCCCTACAGAATTGCCTTCTGGCCAATCTTATAAAGGGTTGTTTTGTTTTTTATCCCTATTAAGTTTCCTTCTTCCCTAGGTTTGTGTCAAGTTGACCAAAAAACCAATTAACAGCCAACATACCTTTCTCTAGAGAAAACTATTGATGTATTGTAGCTTAGTAGTAGTGCAAGCACTTTCTGCTATTCAATCACCACAGAATAATTGGATGGAGGGCCATATCCCTTCACTTAACAGGTTTCTTATTGCCTGTCCATCACTAAGTCAATAAGTATTATCAGAAATTGTGTTACTTATAATTTTTGAGAGAAGAATGAAAGCTCTAATCTGTATGATTCTATCCTGATTGTCTCTCTGAAAATGAGAATATTCATTTAATAATCTTTTACCATTATCTTATTATGATTAGTTGAAATATAAATGGGAGAACCATGGCAGATGCATCTCTTTTGTACTGTTCTTTCCTAACGTACCATTGCTTTTTTTTAAATCACTATTTTGTTGTTGTTTTTTTTTATTATTGATTTTCATTGAGTTCTACATTTTATTGTGCCTCTCCCCTCCCCTTCTGCCTTCTCCCAAAGACCCTATGCTCCCAGTTTACTCAGAAGATCTTGTCTTTTTCTACTTCCCATGTAGATTAGATCCATGTAAGATTCTCTTAGAGTCTTCATTGTTGTCTAGGTTCTCTGGGATTGTGATTTGTAGGCTGGTTTTCTTTGCTTTATGTTTAAAAACCACTTATGGGTGAGTACATATGATAATTTTCTTTCTGGGTCTGGGTTACCTCACTCAATGATGTTTTCTAGCTCCATCCATTTGCATACAAATTTCAAGGTGTTATTTTTTTTCTGCTGTGTAGTAGTACTCCATTGTATAAATACATCACATTTTCCTTATCCATTCTTCGATTGAGGGGCATTTAAATTGTTTCCAGGTTCTGGCTGTGACAAACAATGCTGCTCTGAACATAGTTGAACACATGTCCTTGTGGCACAATTGAGCATCCTTTGAATATATACTCAAAAGTGGTATTGCTGGGTCTTAAGGAAGTTTGTTTCCACTTTTCTGAGAAATCGTCACACTGACATCCAAAGGGGCTGTACCAGTTTGCATTCCCACCAGCAATGCAGGAGTGTTCCCTTTACCTCACAACCTCTCCAGCATGAGTTGTCATCAGTGTTTTTGATCTTGGCATTCTTACAGGTATAAGATGCAATCTCAGATTTGCATTTCTCTGGTGACTAAGACTGCTGAGCATTTCCTTAAGTGTCTTTCAGCCATTTTAGGTTCCTTGTTGAGAGTTCTCTGTTTAGGTCTGTACTTCATTTTTTTTATTGGATTATTTGTTCTTTTGATGAGTTCTTTGTATATTTTGAAGATTAAACCTCTGTCTGATGTGGAGTTGGTTGTTGTTGTTTCTTAAAAATAAGTTTATGGCGCTGGAATAGTGGCTTAGTGGTAAGGTGCACTGGTTGTTCTTCCAGAGGACCCGAGTCCAATTTCCAGTACCCACATGGGAGCTCACAATCATCTTTAATTACAGTTCCAGGGGATCTGATACCATCACCCAATGTACATAAAATAAAGCTTAAAAAAAAAAAGGACTAGTTTACACAATATAGAACGTATTGACCTGGGATTCTATGGTAGACCAAACTGGCCTAGAACTGACAGAGATCCATGTGTCTGCCTCCTTAATTAGAAGTAAAGGCCTACACCACCATGCCCAGCTTATAAGAGCTGTTTTTAATCTTAAGAGTATCAACATTAGCTGGGAATATAGCTCAGTGATAGAGATATTGCCTGGCATGCACAGGGCCCTGGTTTCAATTCTTAGCACTCAAAAAGGGAGGGAAACAATAAGAGATATAAAGCATTTTCTATCCCAACAAAAAATCCTATCTATAAAGTATCTAGTCTCTTAAACAGTATTGTCAGGTGGAACTAGGGAATCATTCTTTACAAACAGGTATTCTGTTGGACCTTTGGAAAAATGTTCATTTGTGCTAGCAACAGTTAAGAGAAGGTGGCATATTGATGTCCTTTCCATCTTCTTTAGCCATTCAGTCAACAATTTTATGGTTCCCAGGTCCCCTAGTGATTGAGAGACCAGAAAAACTTAGGAACACAGCCATTACTCTTCTAGATTTGAAATAGTATTGCAGGTTTGGAGGTCATTATGATGGAGTGCCTTGTGGTACTCTGTTCTGAAGTGCAGTTAAGACAGCCCCTATCTGGGTATGGTTGAGTTCACCTATAATTCCAGCGCCTGGGACGCCAAGGGTAGGAGGATTTTTAGGCCATTCCAGGATACATAGTAAGATTCTGTGTCAAAACAAAGCTCTATCTTTTAGGAACCTGTAATCTTATACCTAGAAAGAAGGAAAGGCTTATTTGGGCTGGCAAAGATAGCTCAAGTAAAGGCACTTGTTGCCAAACTTAATGAGCCAAGCCCTGGGACCTCTACATGGGTGAAAGGAGAGGGAGGGCAAGTTGTTCTCTGACCTCCACATGGGTGCTGTAGTGCATCTCCAAAACAAATGAATTAATTTAATAAAAACATCTTCACTTTCTTTACAGTCAGTCCCATTTTCTAGATATTTATTTCTCCCATGACCATGGAATTCTCTCTTGTTGAACTCCATAATCTTCATGATCAGATCAGTGTTCTTTTAGTAGCCTTTCTCATACTTCAGGGCATATATAAATATTTTGATGGCAAAAAAAATTTGATGGAAAAAATACGAGATCCTCAGAAAAATAAACCCTATGTTACTTTGGTACTGCAACACGAAGAGGGAATACAGGTTCTCCAAGCAGGTATTGGTTTACCTGTGGCAAATTTCTTAACCCCCCTGGGTCTAAAATCACACTATTCCTAATATCTCAATAAGCTCTAGTGTGGATCATTCATTTCATTCATTTATGAGTGTTTTTGTGTGCCAGGATGCTGAAGATGCCACAGGGAACAAAATAAGCTATATAACTTAATTTTAATGGAAAACTAAGACAAGCAAGTTGACAAGATTAAAAGTAGGACAATATGTAGTAGTGCTGAGTGCTGTTTAAAAATAAAGTAGACTATAGCCAGGCGGTGGTGATGAATGCTGTTAATCTCAGCACTCGGGAGGCAGAAGCAGGCGGACTCTGAGTTTGAGACCAGCCTAGTCTACACAGGGAGTTCCAGGACATGCTCCAAAGCTATACAGAGAAACCCTGTCTCGAAAAATCAGAGCCAAAAAGAAAAGAAAGAAAGTAAAAAAAGAAGAAGCAGGCTATTGAGAGCCTATAAGATAGTCAGAGAGGCTTGTTGAGAAGTGATTCTTGATGAATAATGTATGCAGAATACTTAACAGAGCAGCTGGCATTTTTTAAGCATTTGAAGTAAGATGAATGTGTCCTGTCTTCTTCTATATATCAAATAATTTCTGATCATAATTCTAGGAAAATAAATTTATTTTCATATCTAGATTTAGATTTAGGCCCTTAATGTCACAATAATTAAGAGTCTTGTGGAGGATAAAAATGCAAAAAAGGTCTGATTCCTTAGAGTACATAAAATGTTTATGATTCCTTAGAGTACATAAAATGTTTATAGAAGATTGTTTCTAGCCATCTGTCCTCCTTTTTCCAAGTTTTACTTACAGAATTACTTAAATTGGTACAGTCTCTAATTTGTCAGAGATCTGCTGAAAGCCTCAGAGCAGGGCCTGATTGTATCTACAAATACTTCTAAAGGTTCTCTGAACTGCTCTAAATTGAGTTTTTCATAACCTTTTGCTGTCTTGATAAGAAATCTCTTTATCATTGATTGGTATTTGTAGATCTGCGAGGTGGAAATCAAGGAGAATTCTGCTGGCTTGCTTTGTAGAGTATGGTGGATTATGTATACATTTGTGAGGCTGCTCACTGTAGTAACCAAGACCCCTCTCCTCTAGCTGCTTCTCAGTGTCTGCATGCAGAAGTCAAACAGGAAGAATCTCTGCAACAGTATTGTGACAGGGAAACTCATCAGAGTATGTGTATTAGCTGTCTGGAGAAATAACTTTATCAAATATGAAGATGTGAGTATGTTAGCTCATTCCTTCATCACCTTTGTCTAGGAGAACGAGATAACCCTGAAGCTTTCATTCATTTTATGCTTTGTTGGCAATGTTTGGTTGGTTTTGTTTTGTTTTGTTTTGTATGGTCTCTGTTGTGTTCATCTTTGTCATTACATTTGTATTTAATATTTATTAATTTGTTTTTGAAAAAGGGCCTCATTTCTGTAACCTTGGCTGACCTGGAACTCACTAAATAGATCATGCTGTCCCTGAACTCACATGGATCCACCTGCCTCTGCCTCCTGAGTGCTGGGATTGTGTGCGCATCACCAACCAGACTTGGAAATGTATTTTTTTTCTTTCTTTCTTCCTTCCTTCCTTCCTTCTTTCCTTCCTTCCTTCCTTCCTTCCGTCCTTCCTTCCGTCCTTCCGTCCGTCCGTCCTTCCGTCCTTCCTTCCTTCCTTCCGTCCTTCCTTCCTTCCGTCCTTCCGTCCTTCCTTCCTTCCTTCCTTCCTTCCTTCCTTCCTTCCTTCCGTCCTTCCGTCCTTCCTTCCTTTCTTTCGTTTTGAGACAGGGTTTCTCTATAGCTTTGGAGCCTGTCCTGGAACTCACTCCATAGACCAGACTGGCTTGAACTTACAGAATTCACCTGTCTCTGTCTTCTGAATGCTGGGATTAAAGGCGTGCGCCACTGACTGGAAATGTACTTCTAACAGTATCTTATACATATTGTTTTCTTTGTTGTCCAAGTCCATTTGGGCTGAAGAAGAACTTCATGTCCTTTTGTTATATGTGCCATTGCACTAAGATTTGGGAAGATAAGTAAGAAGCAAGAAGCATTATGTTTAAATATTGAGCCCTTTCCATGGTTGTCCAGCAGTATGTACTAACTTCTTGAAGAGTTGATTATTGTTGGGGAATTTTCAAATTTATTACTGTGATGCTCGCTTTCTATTCTTCTTTGTTCAGACATTTTCCTAAGAATTGTTTCCTTGGGAATTTTTACTAAATTTTTTGTTTGTTTGTTTGTTTTGATTTTGTGAGACGTGGTTTCTCTGTTTGACCTTAGCCATCCTAGAACTCACAGAGATCACCTGCCTCTGTCTTCTGCGTGATGCTGGGATTAAAGGCGCACACCATTGCCCAACATAATTGTCCTGACTTTGTAAAAAGCAGTAGGATGCTGTTACCACCTAACATGGAAATTCCTTCTCATACCACCTTTTTCTGCTGTGAAAAATGAAGCCTGTGACATATATGATGTTCTACAAAACTTTTTTTTTTCCAACAAAAAGAGAGTTTGGATTATTTAAAGAGATTAGAGTGATTGTGAAGGCCTATACAGGAAGCCAAATAATTTTATTTTTACTTTTTGTGTCTTAAAAAATTTGTTTTAATTAATAAACACAATATATTTGTGAGTACACAGGCCACAGTGCATGTATTGATCTCACAGGACAATTCTGTAGAGTTGGTTCTCTCTTTTCCTTTTTCACTAGGGTTCTTGGGATCAAACTCAGGTTATCAAATTTGGGCTGCAAGTGCCTTTACCCACTTAGTTATCTCACTGGTTTAGCAAATCTTTTGTTTGTATTTTGAACCAGGGCCTGTTTCTAGTCTAGGCTGGCTTCCAAGTGATGGTTTTTCTGGCTTCAGCCTCTAAAAAGTGTGAAATTATAAGTGTGTTCAAAATCCTTTTGTTGTTGTTTTGTTTTCTAAACAGAGTTTCTCAGTGTAACAATCCTGACTGACGTGGAATTTGATTTGTAGGCCAGGCTGGCTTGAAGTCACAGAAATCTGCCTTTTTCTGCCTACCAGAGAAAGTGCTGGGATTACAGGTGTGTGCCACCACACCTGGCTTTTTTGAGACATGTTTCACTATGTAGCCTTGGCTGGCTTGGAAGGCCCTGTGTTATCTAGACTCTCCTTGAACTCACAGAGCTCCAACTGTCTCTGGGTCTGTCTAGAAGTGTGTGCAACCATTCTAGACCTAAAACAAAATCATAAATGTTATTTGCCCTTGTGATTGAAAGTGGTGCTGTAGGGGAAAGACTGTTAATGATCCATCAAGAAGAAAGTAAAGACCAAAATTGTTGGACTCATAATTAAGTTAGTAATAATAACATAATGGTAATCTTGAGACATTTCAGTACTTCAGTTTTGTGCATTCTGAGAAGCAAAAGCAACAACATCAAAACCATTATTTTTAACAACAGTCAATAATCAATCTGTATAAGTGTTTAGGAGACTGTATTTTTGCCTAAACAACTCTCACCTCAAAACATTTATTGAAGAAAGTGTGGTTTCCTGGACAGAACTCTTTTGTGTAACTTGTGTCTTTGGTCCTTCAATCCTTGCATGTCTTCTGGAAACATCTGCTCACTACCTTTTAATTGTCCTCAATACAGGTATCAGCAGAAATGTGGGAAAAGTGCAGTCAGTATAAAAAGAGTGTAAATTAAGAGTTAGTGAATGTTCTTGTTCTTAGGAGAGGGTTTGTATGTTCAAAGCAAAGCACAGGCTGGGTGGAAATCCAGAACCTGTGGCCTTTTCAGGATAGTTGCCAGCTCTTAAAATTTTAATTTAGTTTTTAAAATTACATTTGTTTTATTTGTTTTGTGGAATATGTGTGAGGGTCAGAGAACATTTTGCAGAAGTCAGTCCTCCCCTTTCACTGTGTGACTGCCAGGGATAGAACTTGGGTAGTCAAACTTTGTGGCATATGCTCCCTCCACTGAACCATTTTGCTGGACCTAATTTAGTTTTGCTTGTTTCATTTTGGTTTTGTTGTTTGGTTTTTTTCCCAAGACAGGGTTTCTTTGTGTAACAGCCCTAGCTGTCCTGGAAGTAGCTAATATTATTATTATTTAAAAATAATTTATTTTTCCTGTATATGCACTGAGGTTTTACTTGTATGTATATAATGTGAGGGTGTTGTATCTCCTGGAAATGGAGTTTCTGACAGTTATGAGCCGTATGTGGGTGCTGGGAACCCGATTCCTCTGGAAGAACATCTAGTGCTCTTAACTGCTGGAACAAGTATTTGTAGACCAGATTGGTCTTGCCTTGGACTCACAAAAATCCACATGCCTCTGCCTTCCACGTGCTGAGATTAAAGGCACGTGCCATCACCGCCCAGCAATGTATTTATATATATATATATATATATATATCTTTTTTTAGTTTCTCAAGACAGGGTTTCTCTGTATAACCGTTGTGGCTGTCCTGGAACTCACTTTGTAGACCTGTAGTCTAGCCTCAAACTCACAGAGATTCTCCCAAGAGCTAGGATTCAAGGCATGTGCCACCACCACCTGGTCTAATTTAGTTTTAAAAAATATTTATTAGTTTTGGCTTTTTTGAAACAGGGTTTCTTGTAGCACTATCTGGTCTCCAGCTTATTATGTAGCCAAAGCCTTGAATTCTTGATTCTCCTCTCTCTATCTCCCATGTGCTGTGATTGTAGACATGGTCTGCCACACTCATCTAAGTAAGTCTATTACTATTTAGTTTTATGTATATGAAAGTTTTGCCTGCATGTGCATGTGTGCAGCATGTGCATGCCTGGTGCCTGAGGAGGTTGGAAGAGGAGTATGGATCTCTTGGAACTTTAGTTATGGATGGTTGTGAGCCACCATGTTAATGCTGGAATTAAACCTGGGTCTTCTGCAAGAGCAACGAGTACTGTAAATCAATGATCCACCTCTCCAACCCCTCAGTTACGTAAGTCTTAAATTATAGCCGCTTCTGTATTATTATTTAGTATGTTTCAAAAAAAAATTAGTGACAGTTCTCAGGAGTCAGGTGGGCTTTTTTATTTGTTTCTTTTGTTTGTTTGTTTAGTTTAACAGTATTTCTTATTTAGGCCTACTAGTTTAAATTTTTGATCAGAATGCTGCTTCCTGGCATCCATATGTCTTCTAGTGAATGTATTAGCTCTTAAAAAAATCTTAAATTTTCTCAGGTGAAAGCGAGAGACGACTGTGCAAGATGGAGTATGGGCAGCATATAGAATTGTAACCTGTGGCTCTAAAACCCTAGGCGCTAACAGCCAACCTCTAGTTTTGCTATACCTCAGGCTCTAATTATAAGTAATTCTTTTGGGGTTTTTTGTTTGTTTGTTTGCTTGTTTTGCTATAATTTTTGTTTCGGTTTTTAAGACAAGGTTTCTCTTTTTTAATAGCCCTGACTGTCATGGAACTTGTTCTGTAGACCAGACTGACCTTGAACTCACAGAGATCTGCCTGTCTCTGCCTCCCAAGTACTGGGATTAAAGATGTATACCACCATGCTCAGTTTATAAAAAGTACTTATTGTAAATGTGATAAAATAAACATCAATCATTTTACAGTTTTATGAGAACTTTCTCTGTCTGTCTGCCATAACAGCAAATTTGTTCTTATTTTTTACTGTGCATAAATCATGGCTCATTTTAGTGGATAGAAATAATTTAGTTCTAATTTGTTCTAAATTGGAAAGTACTTACTATATCCTTTAGCTCTGTGCTTCCTTTTTACCACATCTCTTTGAGCTAGTATTTTTTGCTCATGTTGAATTTTTATAAAACTAACATTTGTAAAGGTGTGACTGGAAGTTTCTCTCCAGCTCCCCAGTTCCTGAATAACCACACTGAGGCTTAATATTAATTATAAACTGTCTGGCCTTTTATAAACTCAGACTTCTTACTTGCTAGTCCTACATATAACTTAACTCATTTCTTTTGTTCTATGTTTTACCAAGGGACTCAAGGCTAGTTACCTCACATCTTGCTTCTCTGGCGGCTGCTATCGTTTCTCTGAGTCTGTCTTCTTTCTCCCTGTTTTCAGTTTGACTTTCCTACCTAGCTATATTCTGCCCTGCCCTCGGACAAAGTAGCTTCTTTATTAACCAATGGTAATAAAACATATTCACAGTATACCAAGGGGGAATCCCGCATCAGTAAGGTGCTGGTTTTCTTAGTCTTGTCAGTTTTAGAACTTGATTGCACGTGGCATCTTGTCTTTTTTCTGCTATGATAAAC